ACCTCACCCTCCGTAAGGTTGGGGGGGGGGGGGGGAAGTGTGGTTCAACGTACAATAATAACACTGACGATAATGTGGGACGTATTACTAAGAAGGCAACTTCTTTCCAGTGTAAATCCATTTTGGAGTTAGCCAGCTCTGGGGATCTTTTTTTTTTGTGTGTGTGTGTGTTCGTTTGCACGTGACGCAGGTTCTGTTGTGCCACGATAACTTCTGTAGGGTTGGCCATCTCTCTTCTTGTGTAGCCGCACAGCTGCCACACTCTGGAGCTGTGGTGGTGACGCTTGACGACCCATGTTTGGCACTACTTTTCCACCTGCGGAGACTGACTCCCTCCCCTGACACCCGGCAGTACGGCAACAGGAGTTACCATGTTTGTTTGTTTTTTGTGTGGGTTTCGCGTTGGTTGTTATTATTATGTTGGTTGTAATTTTTTGTGTTTTTGGTGCTGGTGGTTGGCTGTGGTTAGTTCAATGCGACTCACAACACTTACAATTTTGTATTTGCTCATATTTTTCAACTATTTTTGCGTCTGAAACTGAGACAGTGCCTGTTCGACTGTTTCTTAGTTTCGTTTTTTTTTGCCAAATTGCTTTCTTTCTCTCGTGTTGAGTCGAAAATGCAGGGACCGCTGCATGGAAGTAATGAGCCGTTTGGAACTTGTGTTGCGGCCCGGAGCAACAGAATGCGTGCTAGACGAGAGGCTACTGGAAGTACATATGCGGCGGGGGCGGGAGCTCAAGTGCCTCTGCGCAGCCGAACAGTTGTAGCGCCACGTCTGCAGCTGTGCACTTATCATGACAACGCAGCGATGCGTGAGGCGCTGGAGCAGCTAAAACAGGCGTGTGGCCTCTTTTCTCTTGACGAGGTGGAAGAAATGGAAAAAATGAACCCTAGGCATGGCATCGCTCGCTCCACACGTTCGCAACTCAATCAAATGCCTGGCCACATGATTGTTCATTGTTTTACTTACTGTGACTTGAGGTCCCTTTGCGAGTTGGGGTGCGTCAGTCGCCGTTTTGCCGCCTTGTCCAACGCCCAAATTTTATGGGAAGCTCATGCCCGCCTGCGAAATGTATCAGTGCGTGCGCTGGAATCTGCTCGAGAGGATTTTCGGCGTGCGGTGGTAGAGCGGCACGAGAGGTGGCAGGCGGAAGTTCAGCGGCATGAACGCGAATACGAGGCGCTGCAGCATCGCTTGCATGAGCGTACTGCAGCTGATCTTGCCGATCCAATAGATGTGGACACTGTCCTCGCAAGCACCCGACCCAGGGGATTGGTTGGGAGTCCCAGCAGCAGCAGACAGGCCCACAGCGCCGCACAACTTCAAGAACTGTCAGCCATAGTGGAACAACTTGAGTCGGAAAAACTAGAGCTTATTCGTGGCATCCGTGAACTAAAATCTACGTTAGCCCAACAGCAAAAGCAGATAGAAGAGCTTCAAAAAAATGTGGCAGAATCTAGGGAGACAGATCCTGATGGGGGAAACACCACGACCGCAGATGAAGCGGATGGAATCACATTTTTGAGTGTTCGCGCCTTTGAACGCCGTATTTGCCGAATCGTGTTGAGCGTCGACAATGATCTTTCTCTTGTGCTCAGGAGAGGAGTCGACGAGTTTGGCACCATGGAACTGTTGTGCCTTTATGGTGCTGGTGATGTGGGCCAACGTGTGCGGCAGCGTTGGGCCGCCTTCAAACGTTTTTTTCCACCAGTGTCGGAAGATTACGGAACCGTAAGGTCGTTGCTTATGACTGGGGAATCGCCGTCTTCAGCTCAAGCGCGCGAATGTCTTGCACGTCTCGGTGGCGTGATCCGTCGTGTTCAGCGGATGACAGACAACGAGATTGTGCAAATTATATTGTAACAAACAGCAAAGGAAAAACATATGAAAAACAAGAAACAAAGAAATTTTGGGCGTGTATATGTGTGTGTATGTGGCACGTGAGGGGGGCAGACGTCTCGTGCGCAACACCCTCGAAGGAAGGAAATTGTGAGGTTGTGTGCGCTCGACTGTGTGGTGATGGTGTCTGGATGTTTCAGCAAAAGGTGTTTCACACAGCAGCTCGCTGTTGGCAGTAACTGAACTGATCATGTGTGCGAACCAAGCAGCGTCTCACTGTGTCGCTGGATCCTGGTGCTGGTGAAAGTAACTGTCGCATGGGCGCCCCACGAACACTGCTCTCACCCAACAACTTTTCTTCTCTTCCTCTCAATCTTACTTGTGACGTAAGAAGCAATGGGCAAAGCTGGTGTGACTAGCTACGATGTGCTCACCCTCATCTTCGTTCTGCTCGTGCGGGTCGGGACGTCGATTAACAATTTCGTGTGAAGGATCAGAAACTCACAAAAAAAAACACGCCGTGTTTTGATCTTGTGGGGAGAGGAACTGAAATGCCACGGCACAAAGTATTAGCTTCGCCCAAAGATATCTTCGTGGTCTGCCCCACACTTGTGAGGTACCTTAGAGCTGCAGAGGCGTTTGTTA